TCTTCTTCTTCTTCTTCTTCATCTTTTTGTCCATCTTCTTCTTCTTCTCTTTCTTGTTATACCTCATCATGTTCACATGTCGGCCTGTCAAACCCACGAAAACATGCAGACATCGCCGAGCCCCCACCCCAGTATGTACTTGGTATCACACATGCAGCAAACAGCAGGCAACACAAATGCAGAGTCCCCAACACAAATGCAGTACCTCCTTCCTTTTGGAGGGAAACATCAGTGGAGACTCTGATACTGCCCGTACAGGCCCTAGACTCAGACTGGTTGGACTGGTACCCGCCTAGACCTAGCCTAAAACTACTGGGCCTCTAAAAATGCCAACTTTTGTCTTCTTCTGCTCGGCTTCAAGTACCCGGCACATCTACCTCTACTTGGTGTGGTACCGGCCTACCTGCTACTTGAGTGTTTTCCGCTGCTCTAAGTGTCGGGGGCCTCTTTCCCCGCCACTTCAGTGTTTTCCCCGCTGCAACCCTTAATGTCACGGTCATAGGTAAGTACCAGCTGACCAAACAAGTGCCGTTGCAGGTCACACACACACTCAAGCCGACAAGCACTCAGACAGGCATGCAGACCAGCAAGCACGCACCCACACAGACTTAGAAAACTCAGCAACACGCAGGAAACTCAGCAAGGCATACATTGCATGAGCAAAACTCAGAATCAGCTGTGTCTCTCAGTCCGCGTTATTGCGGGTCATTACAACCGTGTCAATCTGTTCAACTTTTAGGGTTTAGGTTTTAGGGTTTGAACCCGGGTCTGTGCTGACCGACACGCATATGCAGGAAGGCCAGGAGCACTGCACGCAATCGTACCTGCAGTTGTGTAGCGTAGCCTTCGCGATGACAACTCCACCAACTTCAACTGGCTGTCATAAAAATCCAATCGCCGACAAAAGAATTTTCCCATTAGGGGCAGGAAGGGGAAAGGGGGGAGGAAAGAGAGGCATATCAAATTTATTGAATGTATTCAGGAGTCAGGACTCTAAAAAGTAGCAGCAACGCTAACCGAATTGCACGCTCAACATGCTTTTGGCGGGGGGGTGGGAGAGGGGGGAAGAACACTCACACCCTTGACTCCATTTCCATCAATCAGGGTCCAACTTTCGGCAGTTGGCACCGCTATCTTTTTTTGCAAGGTTGGCCCCTGGCCACATTACCCGTGCTCACTGCGCGGCCCCCATGCCCAAGCGAAAAATTGAAATGCCCCAGCCCCGCGGTGTACTGGTGGCCTAAGATGGCGTCAACTTGAAATGCCTTTCCAAAAACAGTTTATACTACCATTGTCAGGGGTCATACATACCCTTCACACTCATGCTCGCAGTGTTTCACAGGCAACAACAATTCGTACTGATGGATCTGGCTCCAAATTCGAATAAATATTACAGAGATCTCAAAATCAGAAGAAGTAGGAAAGATTCATGCACGATCGTATGTTTGACAATGAAGACTATAAGCTGCAAGAAGCCACAAAGCAGGGAGGGGGGATTTGGGAGGGGGTAGACAGAAAGGGGGAGCAGGGGCGGAGGGGAGAGGCAAAGCAAGGGCTGGTGGGAGGGGGGAGGCAAAACAAGGGGTAGGAGGGGGGAGGCAAAACAAGGGGGTGGGAGGGGAGGGGCAGGGGGGAGAAGAGTGGTTCGCCTTGAGAGCAGAGAACGATGGATTGTAGTCAGCCTTCGCAGGGAAAGGGTGCAGTAGAGATTGACGAGTGTGTAATCTTTTGCTAAATTGAGAGTGCTGGCCTACAGACTGGCAAGGCTACATGGGGAATGTTCAGTGAAGCGTTAAGTGACGTTCTTAAACCACCACTACCTTTCAGAGGCGAAGGCGAAATCGTAAATAAATATAACCTATATACTGCATTCTTTGGAAGCTGGGTGACACTGGAGCAAAATGGCTGGCAGCAGCAGCGAAAACAAAAGAGAAAAGGAGGTCGTGGTGGCGCTTCGGCAAAGCTTGGAGCGCAGTTCTACTCTGCCTCGGCAAAACGTGGCTTGGAGGTAGTGGTGTGTTTAAGGGACATCACAGCCACTAGGACGACATGCATGAATCAAGACATGGGCCCAATTTCAAAACACAAAAAAAAAAGAAGAAGAAAAAAAAATGTTGACGATGCTGAGTGGGTTGGGCCATGTCCGCACCTCAAGATCTGCGACAGGAATGACATGTCCCGACCTTCCCACTGCCAGCTTGATTCCCTTCAGCGTCGTCAATGCTTCTGTCGCCGGAAACTGAGATCCTCGACGGGACACGAGGAAATTTTGAGTGAGGAATGCTGAGCACAAACCAGCCACGAAAAGATACGAACAGCCTTCACCAATCATGTAAGCAAGCTGTGTGATCACACCCTTGGAAATCATATTTTCAAAATAATGTTTATGAAATTAAACTATTCATAATTTTTAGCGTTTTAGTACAGTTTTACTATGTTTCAGGGTTTCAATTAACAAGCGAGTAAACTTCAAGAAAAAAAAAAAGATGACCTTGACAAGCCTTCCGCTCCTGAGACGAAGGTGTAGAGTCTGTATACACGCCCGTGGAGTCTATCAGTATGGTTCCAAATTCCAATAATCCATTGTGCATAAACTCGTCTGTTGATAAAATAGGTTTTTAACTTTTTAAAGTTTTTATCCCTCATTTTTACGGTACGATCTCACAACCAATTTCGATCAGATTTTGATTCAATCAATCAAAGCCTAGCCAACACCACTCCCATTGCACAATGTGTGGCTTAAAGCATCCAACTCACCGCCAATTGGGACCAAGTCTAAGGGAACCGCAGCGTGTTAGAAAAGAGCAGAAAAGGCTCACGAGCTATTCGCTCTGGATCCCGCCAAAAATACTTTTCCATCTGGCAGTTTCCAGCAAAAAAAAGAAAAAAAGGCACAAGAACTTGAAGAACAGGGCCTAATGCGAAAGAAAAGAAGGTGCGACCCTTGTGCTGTTGAACCGGCCGACGACTTTGAGCCCTCCATGATGTCTACGTTCTCACAGATCGAACGGCCCAGATCTCTCTTTTCCAAGACTTCCTGCCAAGGTTTAAGGGAGATGGTTGCTTTTCTTGTTATCCTTTTCCAACCAATCTCATTGACACGATCGATTAAAAAGAAGAAAAGTCAAAAGAGTTTGAAAAAAAAACTTTCCAAAGTCTTTCCTTAAAGAAGCCCCAAAAGCTAGGCTACCAGGTTTGGCCTGGGACCACTTGCCCGGCCGGGCCAAAAAACAAAAAAGTTCAAAATAGTAAAATACACCCTCATTTTTTAAATTTTCAATCCGGTAACAAATTTCAGTGTGACCCTGAGGCAAAAGTAAGTTAGTTTTTTATTCTGCATAACTCGAGAATGTTAGACAAACAGTCACACAGAGTGAAAGAAACACTTCCTCCTTTTTCTCCCAATGATGTGTAAGAGAGATGTAGCCCCTAACATTTATTACATCCAACAGGACTCGAGGTCCTGATCTCTTTTTGTCAACAGTATGTGTGTGTATTATTCAGCATGCTCAAGAACTCGTTCATCTCAAATAATCAGTTCAGACTCTTCAGAGTTGAGTATTTAATACTTGTTGCTACAAACTTTTCAGTGTTTTCACCTAGGCTTCCGGCGCTGCCCGGCTGGGCCGGCAGGGCTGTGCCCCCGTGCAGCCTGCACGGCCGCGCGGCCGCACGGGTCACCAGTGCAGGCTCTTTTTGTTTTGTAATTTTCTTTTCCCCTTGGGTGATGGGCCTCTGCTGCACCTAGAGAGATCTGCCCGAATCTGCCCTTTTTACACTTGTTTGCTACACTACTACTTCGATGTGGCAGGGGGGGTGGGGTCGGGTGGCGTCTCACTGACTCTCAGATGCTTTTCAGGTGGGGTGGGGCGGGGTAGGGTCTCACTGGCACAATGAATGTTGGGAGTGAGGATGGCGGAAGGGAGGTAGCGGGACGGGAGGAAGGAGGTGGGCGGAGGGAGGTTGGAGATGGCCAAAGGGAGGGGAAATGGTCGGAGTGAGGTTGGAGATGGCAAAAGGAAGGTAGGAGGTGGCGGGAGTGAGGTGGGAGATGGCGGAAGTGAGGTGGAAAATGGAGAGATGACGTGAGGAGAGGTAGGAGGTGGCTGGGAGGGAGGTCAAAGATGTCGGGAGTGAGGTTGGAGATGGAGGAAGGGAGGTAGGAGGTGGCGGGAGGGGAGGTAGGAGGTGTCGGGAGGGAGGTTGGAGATGGAGATGGAGAAAGGGAGGTGGGATGTGGCGGGCGTGGGGTTGAAGATGCGAAAGGGAGGCACGAGGTGGCGGGAGTGAGGTGGGAGGTGGCAGGAGTAACGTGGGAGATGGTAGAAGGGAGGTGGGCGGTGGCGAGAGTGAGGTGGGAGATGGCAGAAGGGAGGTGGGAGGTGGCGGGAGTGAGGTTGGAGATGGCGAAAGGGAGGTAGGAGATGGCGGGAGTGAGGTCGAAGATGGAGAGAGGGAGGTGGGCGGAAGGGAAGTGGGAGATGGCGGGAGTGAGGTGGAAGACAACACCGGACCAGCGTCCCCGAAATTGTTCCCCAGAACCCGCATGCCGGGGCCGCACGGGGGCCTGACCAAGAGACCCGCATGACCGTGCAGCCATGCGGGCATCCGTGCGTGTCGGTGGTGGCCGTGTGCACGGATTGAAGCCTAGGTTTTCACACTCTTACTTAAATTACATGTTCAGTGTTCATTATTTATTGCTGCTAAGCTGTGCTAACTTTTCAGTGTTTTCACACCCTTAACTTGTTGTGACAGCTGCAGCCACATCGACAAAAGGTAAGATTTGCTACATATGTGCAGGTAGGACATTTTAATCTCCAAAAAAAAAAATAAAAAAAATCATCAATTATTGCTGCTAAATTTTCACTCTTCCTTAGTAGCCGGTCTGTCATATCATCGAGTTGTCGATGCTTTTTAGCTAAGCCTTCTTTCGCGCTTGCATCGTTTGCAAAAATTATTTAATACCATACTTGTCAGCGCACGCCATGCGCTCATCCCTGGACGGCCGGTGCATGAGCACACCGGGGCCGCACGGGTCACAACCTACGCAGCGTATGGTAAATCAGCCCTCCCCCCCTCCCACCACCAAAGAAATAAGGGTTGCAGTCCAACGAAACTTTGAATTGAAATTTGAAAAAAACGCAGTTGGGTGGAAACTGTGAGGTGTGGTAGGTTGACTTCGTGTGCTGCTGCTGCCACTACCCTTGTGTCCGCCAATCGCCTTCTCGCCACGCTGCTCCCACAGAGGATTATGTAACACGGAGGAAGAGGTAATGATGACAACGCCTTTCCGCAAAAGGGAAAAAAAAAGAAACTTCACATTTCGAGACGAGGATAAGAACGTGACGAGGAGGGAAGGTGACGAGGAGGCGGAAGAGGAGGGGGAGGAGGAGAAGGAGGAGGAGGAGAGGGAGGGGTATTGGAGGAAGGGTGTGAGATAGTGAGGGCTGCTGGAACCCCACCTGACTTGTCGGCAATGGCCGAATACAGAAGGTTCGGCTTCTGCAGCTTCACCAGGTGCACTCTTCATGGGAGCTTTGGCGGCCCGAGCAGCTACGAGAAGGAACAGTGTGGTGACAAGAAACAGCGTAGCATGAGCAGGGAGGCCAGTAGGCAGGACAGCAGTGGTGGTGTTCGGGCCACGGCCGCGCTTGAGCACTGCCAATTATAATTCTCCCCCCACCGTACCGGGTTTTCCCGGGGATTGTGGGTCACCTGCGACCGCTTTTTCGTTGGGCGGAGGGGCTGTTTAACCAAACGCCGTGCAGGCCCGGTGCGCTCAAGTGCCAGCCGTAGGCAAATGAGCACACGACATGCACTTGCAAGTATGGTCTCTTCTAAAACCACCTCCATCAGTGGAAGTCCTCTCCAGGATGTCCTCTGCCTTCCTTCCTCTTTTCAGTGATCACTATACGATCAATGGGCATCGACCCGGTCCTTCGTTTCTTCTCCATTTTTTGTAATTAAGAATTGTAGTATTTCTGTCATCTGCTTCCAGTGGAGTTCGAACCCGGGTCTGTATTTCAACACTTAAGGGGTGTACCAACTGAGCTAGGCCAGTTGGTTCGTTGACCAGGTCCGATGTTTGGTATGCGCATTCTTTTCCTTTCGCTTCGTTCCGATTTCTCTATCAATTAGGAGCTGAGGCACACATTTTTCTCGAATTATTCTTCCAATACAAGAGAGGAGGGGAGAGGGGGGGTGGGGGTGGAAAGGCGACCACGAAAAGGAAATCGAACAAACAAGGCTCCTTTCCCTCAAAGGTTCTCGTGAGCGCATTTCACGAATGCGAAGAGATCCATCCCACCTTCCATGCCACTGCCCATCTCGGTTCCCGTCTGGATGTGCCTAATGCTTCTTGAAGATCAGCATCATCAACTTTAAAGACAATTCCATCAATATCATAGTCAAGTTCTGCCCTCTTTTCCCGCCACCTGTCCTTCCCATATTCACTCACACAAAGCAAGACAAACAGGATCACACAGAGCAAAGCAGCACAAACGAAACAGGGTCACACAGAGCAAAGCAAACAGCTTCAACAAATGTGCTTTGTAAGTTTGTAGTTGTTAAATATTATATATAGGTCAACTGTACACCTTTCCTTTCCCCTTTCATCGCTTTTCACTTGAGCCTCCTTTTTCTGCCAATGTCTGCCATGCACCAAGTTATGTCGTACTGACGTGGGCACGAAATCTCATATTTTTTTCCTGGTACCGCCAGCCTTTTCCGTTCAGTAGGCTCAGCCCCAAAGGACGTGACACGTTAACCGCCGTGACAAACAGGGGACATCGAAAGAGTGGGAAACATACTGGTGAGCCCCTAATGCATCATTTCCAGCTCACCGCTTAAATCAAAGATTCAACACTACCTACCCTTTTCTTCCCTCCACCCACAAGGGAAGAAGAAAACAAAACAGTAATAAATCAAATAACTCCAAGGTAATACGAATCGAGTCACTCCTAAGAATCCAAACGGAGAGGCAAAAGACGGTACGACTTTCGAGACGGGATATAGGATGTTTGCAGATTCTCACCGCCCCAAAGAAAACAGAAGTGGGGGTCCCTAATAACCGCTTGTGAAAGAAAAGCAAAAAACAAAAGGAAAAAATGCTGGCTTACTCACTCTTTCGCGAACTGTACAGCAGAATCGAAGTCGGCGAACAGACGGTTGTGATCGTTCACTGGGAATCCAAGCTTCTTGAGCAGTTGCAGCGCTGCCCACTGGCTAGAAAATCGGATGTCAGCAGCCGATGTGTCGAAAACACATCCAGGTTCACCTGATCCTTGACCTTGACTGCCACTTTCTTCTCTCCTCGTGACATCTGGCAAATGGTCAGTCCACATCTGCCAATTGTTGGTAAGTGAGCCATAGGAACGTCACAGATCGAGACTCTTCCACATATCCGATTCTCAAAGTTTCAATTTTCAATCAACCAAAAACATAAAAAACAGACAAAATATAAATAAAAAATCAGTTAGCTCCTAGCTTTCCTCCCCCGGGCGCCCGGGGTACCCCACTGTGCCCGGAATGGCGCCCGGGGTGCCCGGCCGGGCGACCCCCCCGAGCAGGCACCCGGGCGCCCGGGGTACCCCACCGTGCCCGGAATGGCGCCCGGGGTGCCCGGCCGGGCGACCCCCCCGAGCAGGCACCCGGGCGCCTATCGCACCGAGGCAGAAAAAGCCGCCAATTTTTTTTTCGCGCTGCCACCCTATTCCGAACGTGCCAACTTCCATTTTGGCGGTCGGCGCATTTTTTTTAGGGGTCCAGTACACCCTGTTTTGTAGGGTTTTTTTTTCTTGGATTTTGGCCGTCGATCTCCAGTGATCGACGGCGCGCACTGATCCAGGAYACAAAATTTAGTCCTGAGCTTCTCCTTCGTTTATTCTTCTTCTTCTTCTTTCTTCTGTTTTTTCTCTTTCTGTTTCTCTTCTTTTTCTTCGCCTCCCTCCACCTTCCTCTGATGTGGCGCTCCTCTCTCCTCGTGCCCCCTCCATCACCTCGCCACCCTCCTTCCTCCCTTCTCCCTCCTCCCTCACTCCTCTGACATGGCGCTCATCCGTCCTCTCTTCCTCCTCTGACGTGCCGCTTCTCCCTTCTCCCTCTGTCTTGGCGCTCCTTCGTCCTCCCTCTGACGTGGCACTCCAGCACAGGTGGGACACAGCAGCTGACGCATCCCCCACCCTGTAAATGGACAGTCCATAATCCAGCCCCCTCCTGCACGCTCTC